TGTTTCGTCCCGTTTAGTAGTCGTTATCTGAGTGCACTTTCACCTCGGCGTTGAACCCATAACCTTGAACTTCAAGCTTCCAACGCGTTATACAAACGAATAACTCGTTCATCAGATATGAACAGGAAATTGCAAACCCCTAGTAACAGTGTACCTTTGTTTTAGATAATTGCATAACATATTAGTTCATTTAAAAAGCATCCAACTGTTACATCTTACGCATTGGAATCCTTATTCAGCTTGTTTATACAAAGATTGTCTGTAAGCATATTTGTTACACCGTATTCGAACATAGGCTGTTGATATATGTAGACAAATCAGTACCTTTGATAAATTTTAACATCTTTAACCCATAAGTTGCTCATCAATAAATTTAATTCACTGTATTAGTGTGTGACCATTTAGTTATCATTTTCATTTCTACACTTAGACTTTATAAGAAAGCTGGCCTGTTGAAAAAGAAGCGTCGCCCTCTTCATGTAATTGTAAATACAAAAGCTGGTTCGCGTAGCGCGGGAACTAAACCTCAAAAAGGGGCTAAAGTCAAAATTGTAGATAAAAGAATGAAAGCAGATTTACGTGGACAGCAAAAAGCTAAAGATGGAAAAAAACATGGAAAGCGTAAGAATAAAGTTGGGCGTCCTGGAAGGCCAAAAAGTCGAGGATTCGGAAAGAGACGTTAACTGTTCTGTTCCGTTTATTGAGATCTGTATATACAAATCATTTGATTATATTGATTTTTGTAAAATATGCTTATTCTTCTTTCTCATCTACTTGCTGAGTACAATATACAGTCATTTAGTATGCAGATAACTTTCTTAACTATTACAATATTTTCCATGTAGGTAACTAATTCAAAAATGAAGAATATTTGAGCAAACAATTGTTTTCAATAACTTTATCATCAGGCTTTACAGTTAAGTCCATAATTATGATATTTTGCAAAAGCCAAAATAAGACATGTATTTATAAATTTGACAATGTTATATGTTAAAAATGGTGAACGTTTGCATCTGTTACGACATATATACTTCGAAATTGTGTTATTTGTATATTAGCAAGGCCATTTAATAAAGGTCCGAATGAGTTGAAGTGTCAAGTCATAATAATAATATTCAGTTTAGGTATCAGGTGATCCATTAGTAGGCCACGGTAAACATAAAGGCTGTTTATATCTTTTCTGGTTACATAAGTTCGGTTCTATGGAGTTGATCCAGTCAGTCAGTCAGTCAGTAACAACGTAGAACTTCGTACGTACGTACATCAGTTCGAGTTGCCACACCACATTAGCACAGAGATGCAGTTGTCGATTCAAATCCCATAGTGGTAGAGGTAATAAGAGTATAAGCAGTAATCGGGAAGATTAGGGTTTGGAGATGTTATTCAAAGAGTATAATCCAGTGAAATAAATTTGGAAAGAGGAAAAAAAGGGACATGAAGAATTCAGAAGATTAGAATTTGGGAGAACACAAAGAGTGGATGCACCTGCGCCATTGCAAACGATTTTGAGCCATGTCATTCAGGGTCTCTAACCATCGGTTGCTATCATCTCGCGATCCCGAACCAGGTAGTCTACACCTACCGACATGACTCAGACCACTTGTCAGTGACTTCATGGACTTGTGCCATGTTTTGGTCTGGCCGCCCCTAGCTTTCTTCCAACCTACTCCTATACCACTGAGCATCGCACGTCGTGGCAGTCGGTCGTTGGGCATACGTAACACACGTCCCAGCCATCTCAACTGATGAAGTTTCACTACTTCATCAATTGATTTGCCATCCTTACCTAGTACCCGTTTCCTAACAACTGCATTACTTACTCGATGGTCCCAGGATATACGAGCAATGTTTCGAAGACACCTATGATCAAATACTAGTAACCTACGGATATCCTCTACTCTTACCGGCCATGTGTCACTGCCATAAAGTAGGACGGGACGAACTGTTGCGCAGTAAACACGTCCTTTGGTTGATAGACGGATATCTCGCCTACGCCATAAATGACGCAAGTTGGCAAAAGCCAGTCGAGCCTTCTGTATCCGTGCTGAGATTTCGTCACACACCAGACCACAAGGGCTGATGAGACTTCCAAGATAAGTGAAGCAATCGACACGCTCAACTACTTCACTCCCTGTCATTAGTTCGGGTGTCAACGCAACCCAATCCTGAAGCAACATTTTGCATTTAGAGGGGGAGAATCGCATCCCGAACATGCTTGCATTGTTGCTTACGGTGGTCAGAAGACTCTGCATTTTGTTAACGTCTTCACCAAATAGAACTATGTCATTGGCATATTCTAAGTCAACAAGTGAACCTCCCGGTAGAAGTTCAACCCCTGGAAATTTAGATGAGGAGAGTGTTATCTCTAAAAGTACGTCGACCACAAAGTTGAACAAGAATGGGGAAAGTGGACAGCCCTGACGAACACCACTTGAGGTAATCAATTCTGATGACAGTTCGCCATAAGCTCTCACTCTACCAGTTGTGTTCGAGTAGAGAGCCTTTATAAGGTTAATGTACTTCTTTGGTACTCCTTTCAGTGACAAACACTGCCATAGAACCTTACGATCATCAGAGTCGAATGCCGCCTTAAGGTCGAGAAATACTACCATGGTGGGGCATCTGAATGTGTGTCTGTGTTCTAGAACCTGACGTAGTGTGAATATCTGATCTATACAACCACGTCCAGGTCGAAAATCAGCCTGATTTTCTCTAGTCTGCTCTTCACGAGCTTTAGTTAGGCGTCAAAGTATTATTGAATCTAATATTTTAGACACTATATTTGTCAGACTGATTCCTCTGTGATTGTCACAAGAGGACTTTTGTCCTTTCTTATAGACTGGCACAATCAGTGATTGAGACCAGTCAGATGGGATTACGTCCAGTTCCCAAATTCTACCTAAGACCTCAGTTAATCTCATTGCTAATACTGGACCACCATCGTTAAAAATCTCAGGAGTAAACCTGTCAGGGCCTGCTGCTCTCCCTCGTTTCAGATTTCCTATGGCTTTTTCAACTTCGTAAATGGACGGAGGACCTACATTAACTTGCCATTCAGGTTGACTAGAGATCGTGGGAAACCGAAGTGTGGCTGAAGGCCAGTTGAACTGATCCCTAAAGTGTTCTGCCCATCGATCCAATCTCCTGGATTGAGAATGAATAATATGTGGAGTTGATATGGAGTTGATCCGGATGGCTTCAGCTGTGTAGAGTAGCCGTAATCTAGCTGCTTGATGTAGATCCTTCGGAATTTTATATGAAACCGAAAAAGCTCCCTCTATTTCGATGTGATGTTCACTATCTACCAAATGAGAAAGAACAGTACTGTTGATCTATTTAGTAACTCATTTTCCTAACCGTTCTGGCACATGTTCATGAACACGCAAGGATAAAGCCTTCTGAGTACGGCCAATGTAACTAGCTCCACAGGAGCAGTCGAATTGGTATGCACACATGGAGGAGCCCATCATCGTTAACCTGTCCTTGATTTATTGTGTAAGTACTGGTTTAGTTGAGAAAGTTATATTTAACCATTTTTAACATATAACATTGTCAAATTCATTAATACATGCTTTATTTTGGCCTTTGTAAAATATCATGATAATTGTAAACTTATAACTAATTCAGTCCAAAATTGTTAGTGTAAAATACGCACGATGAGACTCCTGCTTATATGAGGGTTTAATATACAGGGATTTGTTTCTTAGGTGTTCAGTCACCCACAATCAGTTAGATTACGATTATAAGACCGAATCAACGGGATTCTCACAGCACAGTATTTTTGTGATAAAACGAGGGAACTTTAATTGCTTTGACAAGAAATGTACGGAGTTTCGAGGGTGATTAATTCACGTTTAGTTGTTTTTTAAGCTCTAGAACAGCCTGGTCGCATTTGGACATGATACATTACCATAATTACAGGATTGATTAATAGTAATTTTCTCGATAAAATGTGTAAATGTTTCTAGAACCAATTTCTTATCAGTGATTGTATATATTACCTAAAATGAGTGCTTTAAAAGCTTTTCATAACTGATTATCTAACTCGAAAGTTTCATGTTGAATGCAAGAAATGGGAAGTCAGACTTTCATATGTGTGTTGGAATTGATGATATGCTTCAACCATTTTCAATGGAACATTTTTCCAATTGTGTTTCTTTAGTAGGTGTTAAGAGTATGATCCTATTACCTTTATAATTTTCCTGTAAATGGTAAATTCATGCCGAAACATTTATTGCAAATCTTACCACGGTGACTTGACTTCATAGTCAATCTCATTATTTTGTTTATCTGCTTTGCAAGTAAGGAAATTGTATATTTCTAACTTGAGTTACGGATCTACTCGACACTAATCGCCCCCGCTTTCGCAGTTGAATAGTTCAGTAGAAAGCTATGGAGGAAACATGTATTTTAAATAAAGTGTAGATTATGTTTATGATTTTTATTGTTAATTGTTTACCTTAATTTCCACATCGAGGTGAAAGGACTTGTCAAGCCTATGGCTTAAATGACTTAATATTTATTCAAATCTCATAATATAAATTCAGGTGGGGAGTTCATAGTTTTGCTTTCAAGAAACAAGCTTAATCACATGTCGAATCTCTTATGGCAATCACATTTTGACTAGTAAAATCTGGTTACCGTGAGGGATATGACCTCATGTATCAAATGAAGACAATTGTTGAGTTTATCTTATTGTAACCAATTTTCATTGAGGTCAGTTTATTGTGTACTACGTCTCATGTACTCTGATAACTTTTTTCATATACTCTTCACTGACTAAAAAAGCTGGTTGCTTGGCCTAGTAAAGTTAGTGAAAGCTACTAGTTAATTGCCTGCACGGTTAAAATTCAACCAACTTCAGATTTGTTTAATATCAGTTTAATCACTCGTCTTTGAGACTAATTTTTGGCATATGTATGCTGATGAATATTCCACTATAAGTTCTAGTTTCATTTAGTCATTCTTATCCAATTCAGGTAGTAAACTAAGGCAGCGTTTGTGCGTAGTTTTTTATTTAACATAGCACATTTTACTAAAAAGGAATTGAGTGTATTTTATTGGGAACAAACAGTACAATACAATGAAATATTCAACTTCTCGGGGCATTGCATAATCCGAGGAAAGTATATTTGGCTCCCATTGAGTAATGGCCAACTGAAATAATAAAACAGTATTTGTCGAAAAGTGATTAAAAGACATGGATATAATTTCATTAATAATATTAATGGTGGTGGAATTTATTTCATATAGCTAGGTTAAGGATAAGGTTGGTAGTTTCTGTTGGATTCTCAGAGCATGGATGGTTGGTTTCAAATATATTAACTTTACTATCATCTTGGGAAACTTCGAGGCGCATACTCACGTATGAAGTCATGCCTTTCATTTACTTGTTACGTAAAAACAAAATAGAAATTATGAATCAAAATCATCAAGAGTAGTTGATTCGGATGGTTATAGCTTAATGATAAATAGACCTGTTGGACAGGAAACGTAACTAGATTTTTAGCCATATTTATCTTGATATAAAGCTTTGAGACTTTATGAGCTTATATCTTTCAATATAAAGTTGTGCCAAAGCAAAATGGTAGATAAAACGTGCTCAGTATGATATTTCTACAGGCAGTTTAAATTTCAGTGGTTACTGCTTATTATGTTTTATCAGAAGGGGTTTGTGGAGATTTTTAGAAATTTCACAGATTGAAATCATAAGTCAATTGAAGCTAGACCATCATGGAAAGCCTGGAAGCACTGGACGGCCGTCCAGTGCTTCAATTGACTCATGATTTCAATCTATTATCTTTTTGTGACGGTTAAAAGCTTCGATTTCACCGAAATCTAGAAAACATAGTTTGGTATCTATTGTCATTATTTAAGCGAAATGAACGAATTGACTGTTTCTGCGTCAGTTATCTTCTGCAAAAGGTACATCAAAAGCCGATGTATTTTAATGTCAAAGTGTATACTAATCGTTCCTAAATTCAAACTCACCTATTCAAAAAATGTAGGTGGTGACGAATTCACCAAGTTACGGCGGAAACATTCAGCTCACATGGCAAGGAGATGTATTATCAGAATTCATATTGCTGCTGATTGTCATGGCAGGAATGAAAGTGTTCTTTGCTCATTGAGTGTTAATTAGATTTAATTAGCATAGGCTGGTTTTTCGAGAAAGAACTTCTTACAAAATTAAGTTACAAGTTGGATGTTCAGCAAGAACTTAGCGAACTGTTAGAAATAATCTCAACTAATGGAGGAGTTATTGAGGGCACGTCGATGTCAGCCTTATCAACTGTGGATTTCAATGGGCGTACTGGTAATAGGCTCGATAGTACTGTTTTTTAAACATTGATCACACCAACAACATGTTGGCCTTTCTGTTGATAACTTGGCATAAGATGTTATAGCATAGTAGCATTGTGAACAGCTATTGTTGACGCGCTTGTCGGTAAAAGGTGTCTGAGCTTCCAGACTATTTTCTGTGAAGCTCTTTCAACATTTTTTTTCATTAAAACTACTGAGACTGCAACATTCAGATGATAGAAAAATCCCAAACCACTTATTTTTCAGGGATAGTGAAGGAAGACGTGATGGGGATGACCAATTTATTGTTCAATGCAAAATTACGGAATGCCTTCGTAAAATATGAAAACTATACATTAAAATACATCATTTGCACATTTTCATTGAGTTGTTCTTCTGTAGTGTAAGCTAATTATATCAACAGACACGAGTAGTATGTAACACCAATCGGAAGTGGAAAAACTAGCAGCAGAAGGCTAAGAAGATCGAGTTGAAGAGAATAGAAAGGGAAACAGAAAGAAATTAAAAACTGGAAGAATAGAGTGTAAAGGACAAATGATGGAAGTGAAGTATACAATGTATGGTTCCCATATTTTACCAAGATATTTTGTAGTTTTGTAATAAACAATAAATTGGTTGTCCCCCACTCGAGTCTTCATTCATTACACTTCCTGTTCTCTTTAATTCAATCTTCTACTGGTAGGCATTCCACTTCCGATTACTGTTAAATCCTATTTATATCTGTGAGCATAATTTGCACACCCCACATGAGTATTACTAATCTTCTTTAGTGCTTCTGAATATCATTGTGTGAACAGAATAGATCAAGTTTCAAGATAAATACGTTAGCTGTTCGAAATATTTAACTACCAGTATTTTAATGGATGAGGTTTGATAGCTAACTGTATTGCTAAAATTTCCTTTTGGATGTAATGGCGACAAATTTAACAAATTTTAAATGATAACATAAATTGTTACGGATAATTTTCCGACCCCTATGAATTTACATATTTCGAATATACAATACTAAATATCTGACTTAAATGCAAACTGGAAGCTGATAAAATTCTTTCTGTACTTTGTAGCAAGATATATCTATTGACTTAGTTCACCTTCAGACTACACTCTTCCAATGATCACAGTTCATTATTTCTTACGAATAATAAGTTTTGATAACTAATAAACAATGAAGCTACATTCGAATGCATCTATTCTATTTGATCTAAACTTTTTTTTAACCATTGCTTAAGGTAACATATGTTTTAGCTTTAATTTAAAACTCTTTCATTGGAAATACACTACAAAAATATATAAATGTATAATAATACACATACAGGAATATATCATTCCATAGATGATTACTGCTTAATGTGAGTATTAATATCGATAAGTGTTTACGCTTACATTTTGTTGGTTTAGGCCGTTCGGTTACCCAAAATCGAAAACCTTCACGAGCTTTCTGATTTAATTTTGTTCTGAAAAACTGTTTCCGTTCTTCTGGTGTCATTCCTTTGGTGTATGGACCACCTTTATGGTCAGTAGACTCAATACTCCCTTCCTTTGTACATTTTTCAAAGCCATCTTCATGTTTTGTATGACTTATTGTTGTTTCTCTTGACATATTTTGTAACTGGGATGCAATAATCTGAGCACGTATGGTGTGTGGGTTAGCTTCTTTCTCATGTCTATCATTCATTTCATTTATCTGAAAGTGTAAGTATTATTTGATATTTATTTTTAATCATTTCGATGTGCTGAAAAATGAAACAATCATATTTGTGTCAATTTCTTACTAATTTTGAAACTCACTAAAGAATTAAAGCGGTCTCACTATCAGTTTATTCGGCCTATCTACTTTGTTTCACTTTAAGAAAATGTAGCACTGCATACAATATGCAAATTATCTGACTATACTAAATCTCTAAAGGTGTACTTCTATTAAAACTGTATATTCAAATTCATTATAATAAGAAACACTGTTTTGTAATTCTTAAGCAATATACATACATGAAAGGAAGCAGGAATTCAGTACACTTTAGTTTTGTGTGTTCCCAGTAATTCAAACTAGACAATGCTTCCTGATATCATACAATTAACTAAAAATTTTATTACATAACATAAAATGCTTGATAATAATAAGCAAAATGAAAATAACACCAATCACCTTATCACGCAAAAGAACCCAATTTATTGTACCGATCCTTCTAGCTATCATAACAGGATCAGAGTTTTTCCAATGATAACGCCTAATAAGTGTTTTAAAAAGAAATGACTGATTTAGTTATTAATGAATTACTGCTTTTATTAAACAGAAAGTTACAGAGGGTTTACATTTTTCATTACAAACTGGTTAAGTTAAAACCGAAACCAAAACAATAACTACTACTACTACTACTACTACTACTACTACTACTACTACTACTAATAATAATAATAATAATAATAATAATAATAATAATAATGATAATAATAATAATAATAATAATGGTAATTATCAGTATATGTTAGACAACACTTAACGGCTTTCGAATATGCGACAGTCAGTAACTTGTCAAAGGGAAGATTTCAGTAAGTATTTGGTATTGATATTGACTGTTAGTTTTGATGAACTTCCACGGGATGAAATGAAGGAACCTAATTGATCATCTGTACAAATTGTTGGTATCTGCTAGGTAGATAACCAGAATATTAGTCTCACTCTCATAGGTCTGTGTGTATTTCAGATGTATCATTTCCGGCTATGATTACCGTTCTTAACATTCTTGATATTGCCTTGCAACAAATAGGAGACTTGTCATCTCAATGCTTAATTTATTATAAAATTACATAAAATGGATCATATATAACATAAAACATATCATAAAACACATCGGTCAAAACCACTTTACTACCGGTAATGTGGAAGAGAGATCACAAAACACTGAAAAATACTTATGAAAGAAATGGCATTCAGAATAATTCATTGCTAAGCACTGAACAATTGAAAACAAAAAAAAATTTAAGTAAACTACAATTTACAGATATCAAAGTTTCCTTCACCGCATCTTTTCAGATGATGATGCTGAGATAGGAATAAGTAGAAATCTAAGCTCAGAATTACCGAAAATATATTAGGCCGTTGAACTGATCATCTTATGTAAAACGATAAACTAGCCTAGACATCTGGAGTTTAACAGGCGTTCTGTTTATTTTACTTCTAACTATTCATATAAATTTACATTTATATGCCAAAGAAGTCACATTAGCATACTATAAATAAAGACTTACTTTAAATTTCACAAAGTCTGCTTAAAAGTAACAGGAACTTCTAATAGTATACACTTAGTCATAAGTTCTAAACGTTAAGAATTGAGACTTATTCATTTTCAGTGATTGTTAGGGTAATGTTAATTAGTGATAACAACTATGAAAACCACTAAAAAAGTTACTTTGTAATAGAATATACTCATTTTATTATTTTTTTCAATATTAAATTATTGGTTTTGTTACTTTATTAAAATAATTTATTAGAGGAGACCATTTTATATAAATCTAATTTCAGATAAAATCCTTAATGCTTACATAATTCTGGTTATTAAAATGGTAACCGAAATTATATGTACCTTTATGTTTTTTTTAAAGGAATAAAGTGTGGTTTTATTATTCTACCTATTAAAAATAACTCCTATTCGAATCTTAAAGTAAGGAAAAGTTTCATGAAGTTACTAACATCTCTTTCTATATTTTTAATGTTTAGTAACGATAAGTGAAAATCTTGGCTTACGAATTAAGATCAATATATATTCTAAGTAATCAATAATAAGCAGTACAGGAGATAGTAATACTTACCAGTAAATAGCATCTTTTGTTCGAGGTGAATGAGCTCTACGAGTACTCATTCTATTCTTGTTCATCTAACAGACGATGACAATCTTGAATATTGTAAATAATATACGTTAAAACGATTGTTAACTTTATTTTAACACCATTGACCTTAAAAATACTCGTAGTATCTTAATGTGTATTAAAAGAAACAAGATTTTATTGATTTACAAACTAATATTTCTACGAATCAGAAAATAAATTATTAAAATAAGTGCAAACAATGTCCCCCTCCCCATATATTATTGTTTTTATTTGACAATACAAACTAAATCAATAGTTAATATGTGTTTGTCTGTGTATTGTGGTGAATCAAACTAAACTCGTTATTATTTCCCGGTAATAGTATTTATTCATTAAATAAAGTACAAAATTGAATTAATTAAAGTTAATCTTTTTAGTGATACAATTAATTTGAAAATAATTTACATTAGTGAGAAATCCGATGACTAGATACTTTCTCTAATGATTCCATCGTTAAATTACTTTTAATACAAAATAGATGGGGTTTGATAGGAAATTCCATACCCGATAACATGATACTGAACTAGATAATAATTTAGTTATTTTTTGTTTAAAAAAATGAGCTGTTTGTTGTTTTTCTGTGAAACCGTAGTTAGGTGGTTAAAATATTATATTACAGATTCGAACCTCATTCAGTGTATTCGCAGAGCTGAAGAATAGTATCATTGACCCTGAAAAAAATTGTATTGCTCGGAATTGATTACATGAACTAGTTATGAAATATCGAGTTTTATTAAGTATTTTTTGATATGATACATGTAATAGTATTTACTATTTGTATTGACTTGATTTACACTATTATTCTTTACTGAGTACACTAATGAATACAAAACTGTGAATGATCCTACTAAAATGTTACTTTAACATGTTATCACACACGTATACTATATCATGGTACTAGTCTTTAGTCGATTTTTTGACAAGTTGGTGAATTGTCGAACTTTAGATTCCTGGTACTGCTCCAAGTAATTCAAATTACCTGATACAGAATTTGGATTCCAGTTCTATTACTTGTAAGGATGATACCGTTTAACCAGAAGTAATTTTTCATCCGTAGCTTTCTCTGCGACATATTGAAAAACAACTCAGCACATAAGATGCTAACTATGATACTACAGGTCCCCCATCCCAATATTTATTAGTCATTCAAGTACATGTCCGATTTCCATGGCTATTTTATTAATCTTTTGTTTGATTGTTATCACAAAGCTCATGGCACACAGCTTACTGAAGTCGGGTAGTGTACCAAGGCGATACAGTAAGTCAACAAACGTAGTATAGAGGGTACGGTACCAGACAGAATATATACCTATCGCAGTTATTTGGATCAATCATAACAATAAATCAGTATAAGCTTGTACATTATTCAATTCGTATAAAATATCAGTATGATGATCCTACAACAAATCTCTCAATGGATTTTGTAAGGTTGAATAAAAACAATCGTATTCCACACTTCTGAATTGAATGAACGAACTTAAAATCAGTTTCAGTGTGAACATATACGTTTTATGTTTATAAAGAGCTTAGAAAAATGGAAATTTACGAATAGATTCTGTTATGTGACCAGCTTTTTCGTAAGTGACTGAAACTAATGAAGTAGCTTTTGGATTACTTTGCACAAATCCTTTGATCTGTCTGTATTGTTCTGATTTAAATGTCTTCCGCTTGTTGGTTTACGAAAAACGTCAATGTTACAAAAGGCTTTACCCTTTCAAAGATCTATTTCTTATGTGATTGTTGTCATGCATTCCATTTTTACTGACATTTCACGTCATTTTTACAGCCTTCTAATGGTTTATCAGTTCATATAGAGTAAACCAGACCGTGCACTTAATCAGACTCAACAAAATTGATTTTTTGATTGAGGTAGATATTATAAATCATAAAAATGTAAAAAATAATTCATTTATTTGGGCTTACTTATAAGTAGCACGGAAATATCTAGTGAAAAATATAAGTCGTGTAAAGATATGATGCTTTGTAAGCAGCAAATTTTGCGAAAGAATTGACTTCAAATTGAATGTATTTCCTCACATCTAAAACCATCAATTATCAAATTTATTATGTTTCAACAGTGATGGTTAATAAAAGTATTTACTGTAAGGGTTACTCTACATTTATTCGATAAAAAACAGAGAAAATTGGAGTAAACAGTTATACGCCCGTGACTACTAGGTTACAATGCAAACGCAAGAGGTTATGACCTGGTAAAAGTGAGCTTTTTTATCTGTCAAAGTATAAATACTTCAGAAATGTGTCATATGCAAACTGGAGAGGTTGTTTTAAAAAAAATGTTAGAATGATTCGTTATAAGTTATCAGGTTATAATCAATCCAATCATAAAATAAATCATGTAAATAAAGTGTGTAGTAGAAGAATTTAGTCTAGTTAATGAAAATAATAATAATAACAATAACAATAATAATGATATCAATACTAATAAGGATAATTTTGTGTGAATATAATGTTTAATAAGTGTGGTATTGTCAAGGCAATTATGGAAAGAAATTCTTGTTCATTGGGAAAGATGAATATGTAGACTACATAGGAGACAGTGGAGATATCAACAAAAAATAAATTAGGAAGTAAATGGTTTTCAGTGTTCAGTTTAATTATGTAATAACCCAATCGTAAAACAGGGTAAATACAGGCTGAAGAAACCTATTTTGTTCATATAAGTTAGGTATTCTAGAGGTGATTCTGATGGTTTCAGCCATGTTGAATAACCATGTTTCTGCTTCCTTGTGCAGATTGTCTGGAAACTGATACAAAAAGAAAAGACTCCATCTACTTTAGTATGATATTCACCAACCGTCAGGTGAAAAAGGACGGCGCCGTCAATGTATTTCTTGACGTCTTTTTCCAACTATCCCGGTACATGTTTACGAACACTCAAGGATATAGACCTCTAGGTACATCCTATGTGAATAGCTCCAGTTAAATTCATATGTAAACATAAAGGAGCTTATCATGGTTAACCTTTCGTTGATTCATCGTGTAATTACTGATTTATTTTGTAAGACCATATGTAACTTGATGACATTACACAACCTTTCAACGTGTTACGATAACATACTCTATTGCTCCCTTTAAAATTGAGTTCTGTATAAAGGGTCTTGATGGTGATTGTCATAGTTTGCCCTATCTTTATCCGGTTGGCCGTTGTTTCTTAGTGTATTCTCTAGTTGGTCTGTTTCATTATCTGCATTATCTTTGGAGCATAATAGTTTTGATAGTTTTAATAGTTCTTCAGGAAATGTTAATTAGTGATGAAGACCATCACAGAAACTCTATAAATCTATATGCTTTCCGATTTCTTCATTCTTAACGAAAAAAAGGTTGTCGTTTTTTAAAATGACTTTATTATAATATTCAAGTGAGAAAATCAGAGCTTGATCTAAGTTTTATAGTCCTGAACTGTTGGTATTTAATGAATAAATACAGGTATTCAAAAATTCAGTGATACTGGCTCATTACCAAGAATATCTT